AGCTTCTCCTAACCCATGGATCTTTAGATAGCTCCATGTCTGCCTAAGCATCTTCAGGGTTTTTTCAACCTGAGCCTCTTCAAATGTGTTGGCATTGTCTGTCTTTCAAAATTTTCTTCCCTCAGAATCTTGCTGCTTCATTTTAGGATTTTTTTTCTCGTTCTCTTTTTTCACTGGCAGACTTCTAGAAATAGGGGTCTGCATTTGGATCTTGCCTCCTGATTGCTCCTAACCCATTGGTTCCTTCTTCCCAAGGTTACCTGTAATTGCTTGATCATGAAGCCCAGTGGCCTTTCCCTCATCTCTGCCCTATTTGTAGCCTATTTGAGTGCGTTGTGCTCTTGTGGGTCTACAGAACTCCTGGGCCTCGTGTCTCCTGCTGTTTCTGCCTTTGGCCTCCACATGTGGTACTTGAGGCTTGTCTTCAACCTTCTTACTTTTCACACTCTGCATCCTTTCCCTTGAGGAACTCATTTACTCCCAAGGCGGCAGCCACCCCTCTTGGAGCTGACTCCTAGATCTGCATCCACACTCTTTTCCTGAATTTGAGTCATACTCTTGGCTGGAAAGATCTCCGCCTGATTGTCTCCATCATTACACGAAACCACTATTCGTTTGTGTCCCCTTCCCCCGTTAGCGCCCTCTATGGTTTCATGAGACCCTGTTTATTCCAGCTCTGCTACCATCCATTTGTGCAACTTCAGGCAAATTCTTCAACCTCCTTAGCCTCAGTTTCCACATTTGTAAGATCTAAATGATTTCTGAATCTGAGTCTATAAGTGGATTCTGATACTACTGCTTACTAGCTCAACCTGACCTGAACAAATTATGGATTTTCTCTAAGCTTCAATGTCTTCCTTTAAAAAATTTTTTTAATACTTACTCATTTTTGAGAGACAGAGCATGAGTGGGGGAGGGGCAGAGAGAGAGGGAGACACAGAATCCGAGGCAGGCTCCAGGCTCTGAGCTGTCAGCACAGAGCCCGACGCGGGGCTTGAACTCACAAGCTGTGAGATCAAGACCTGAACCGAAGGCAGATGCTCAACCGACTGAGCCACCCGGGGGGCCCCCAGTGTCTTCATTTTAAAATGAAAACATTAGGGGTGCCTGGGTGGCTCAGTCAGTTAAGTGTCCAACTCTTGATTTCAACTCAGGTCATGATCTTGTGGTTCGTGGGATTGAACCTCACATCAGGCTCTGGGGTTGACAGGGCGGAGTCTGCTTGGGATTCTCTCTGCACCTTCCCCATTCGCATGCATGCTTTGTCTCTCTCTCTCTCAAAATAAATAAAAACTTTAAAAAAATAAATAAAATGAAAACATTAATATTTAACTCATAGGGTCGATTTGAGAATTACATGAGAATTAAAGCTGCAAGTGTGCAGCTGAGTGTAGGTAATGGTTAGTACAGTAGCTATTCTTTCTGTTGTCCGGGCTTGACATCTTGGAACTGTTTTTTGATCTCTTCGTCTCTCCTGTGTCCAGGGAGTAGTCAAATCTTTTTTGTTTTTTTTTTTTTAATTTTTTTTAACGTTTTATTTATTTTTGAGACAGGGAGACAGCATAATGTTACAGGGAGGTCAGGAGTAGGAGACACAGAATCCGAAGCAGGCTCCAGGCTCCAGTCGGGTCAGCATCAGAGCCCGACGGGGCTGAACTCCCACAGGACTGAACTATGAGACCCGAGCCGAAGTCGGCCGCTTAACCGACTGAGCCACCAAGGCGCCCCAAAGGGAGTAGTCAAATCTTACCCAGTCTCATCCGGTCATTCCTTGGCAGTGCCTTGATAATGCACTGGCAAGTGCCTTTATCAGTGACTGTCCACTTCCTGCAGGCTGCTGCGGTGGGTCCTTTGTATGTGTTGATTTCCATCTTTCCCATTTCCCACAATGGAGCGGTTGATATTTCTGCTGAGAAAACAGCTTCAGAGATTTACGTGACTGACTCGGGTCTCATGAGTAATAAATATTGGCCAACACCAAGGTTCAAACTAAGTCTGGCTACCATTAAAGCCGGCTCCGTCTCCTCCATCTCAGGCTTTCTCCTTCCCTCCCTCCTTCCTTCCGAGTTCCACTGCCTGCAGTCAAAATCAGTCTCTCCCAATCTTGTGTTTAGTGGCCTGTCTGCCTCAGCCCTCCCAGTTCCCTTTCTTCCCATCCATCATCAGATTTTCCTCCACTTCTTCCTGGGAGACGTTTAACAACCTCCATCATCTCCTGAAGACATCTGGCGTTTAGGGCCTCCCTCTGAAGCCTCATTTCTTATATTCCAGACAAAGATCTGTTTTGTGTGTCTCCAGCATTCTTTGTATGTTTTGTGACTTTTTTTGAAGTTTATTTATTTATTTTGAGAGAGACAGAGACAGTGTGAGTAGGGGAGGGGCAGAGAGAGAGGGAGAGAGAGAAAATCCCAAGCAGGCTCTGCACCGTCAAGTGCACAGCCTGATGTGGTTCTCGAACTCACGAAACTGACCTGAGCTGAAACTGAGAGTTGGATGCTTAATGGACAGAGCCACCCAGGTGTCCTTATTTTGTGATTTTTTTTTTTTAAACACTTTTTCTCTGTCCAGATGAAGTCTCATTAGTGGCATAAAAACTCTCCTGACTGGATAAGTCCATTGTTAGTATTGTTATTTTAACAGACACAACTATTTTAGCCAGGTGTTGATACAGATTCATTATTTGGATCATATAAGTGTATGTCATTTGAGCTCCGATTAGAGACCTCTTTTGGTGTCTCTTCTTAAGAGTCTTTGAATTCAGCAGTTGCGTGAATCCTGAATTCATTTTCTGGCTTTCCCTGGTCCTTTCCAGGGCAGTGATATCTGCTATGGAAACATAACCTGGTGGTTGTGGAGATCAAAGGTACCCATCACGGCATTATTACAGTGGAAAGTGAAAATGCTAAAAATGTGATGTAAGGAAATGGTGAGCCAATTATGAACATTATGCAGCCATTAGAATAGTCTTCGGCAAGAATTCCAGACACCAGGGGAAACGGCTTTTGTTACGTTAACAACAACAACAACTAACAACGGAATCAAGACAAATAAGCAATAGTCTTCTCATGGAGACTTAAAATATGTTATATAAAATATGGGGGGCAAGGCGCCTGGGTGGCTCTCAGTTGGTTGAGCTTCTGACTTCGGCTCAGGTCATGATCTCAAAGCTCTTGGGTTCGTGCCCCATGTCGGGCTCTGCTGAGAGCTCAGAGCCTGGAACCTGCTTCGGATTCTGTGTCTTCCTCTCTCTCTGCCCCTCCTCCTCTCACGCTGTCTCTCTTTCTCGCTCAAAAATAAATAAACATTAAAAAAAATTTTTTTTAAATAAAATATGGGGGGAAGAGTTGTTGATTAAGGGGTTATTTGTAATTTTTTTCTTGTTTTGCTACAATTTCCTGTACTTGGCAAGTTTGCAGCTATGAAGACGTAACTTTATTGTCAGACAAATGAATGTAATGACTTACAACAAACAAGGGTGCAGAGATAATTCCTTGTGTTGGGGGCCCTCAAGATGACTCCTAGATCCAATGATTTGCCGGGAGAACTCATGGGACTCAGCATACAGTCATAGAGATGATTACGACTTATCATGGCAAAATGGTATAAAGCAAAATCCAGAGGAAACTAGGCACAAACCTCAGGACAGACACACTTACACGCTCTAGCAATGAGATGTAACAACGCACGTGAAGTGTTGTCTACCCGGGAAGCTCATTAGAGGCTCCAGTGCCCAGGGTTTTTATTGGGGTTGTTCCCATAGGCAGCCTTTGCCTGGTACCTACCAAAATTCTAGATGCCCAGAAGGAAAGGAGGTGTTCAGCATAAGCCACACTGTTTGTACCAACCGTTTGAGGCACCGTGGGAAGAAAGGTGGGAACCCTCCCCACATCCACCTTCCCAGAGGCCAGTGAGGGGCCAGCGTGAGCAGGCCTTTCTCAGCTGGTCATCTCGGGCCACGTGATCTCTTTTCGGCACGTTCCCTCGTTCCTCGTGCCTCCCGTTTCCTCAACTCCGTCAGGGAGTAAATATCAGGATTCTTACTTCTTCTCACTGGCCCTTCCATCATACACTGATGGCCTTTTCAGAGTCCAGTAAAAGAGGCCACTTCTGTTATGTCTACACTTTGGGATCTGAGAGGACGGTCTGAGGCAGCGCGGACACACGTTTCTACCGCCCACGCCTTTCTCAGGGCCAGAGGGGTGGTTCCTTCGCCCGGGGAGCAGAGGCAGCACCATGAGTGACAGCTTCTAGCTCCTGGCGCCTGGCTTTGTGTGTTTTTCCTTTGGCTTTAACTGCTTCAAAATCAATTAGCTCACCGTCATTAGAGTGCAGGCAGCCACACGTTTGGCCAGGATGCAAGGCCCTGGGGCTCTGAGTACACTTTGGCCTCCCTTCTACCAACAGAATGCGTTGACCTTTCTCTTGGGTGGGACAGACTGCAGAGTGATGGCTTCGTGCCCACCTTTTGTCGTCCTGGGTGATGTCAAGACCCGGCTCATGTCTAGTGCCCGTGCTGTTCTGGTCCGTGATGTGATGTCCCTTTCTCAGCATGGTCCTTGACAGCCCAGAATGGAGGGGACTCACTGAAGTTCCTTGCTGCCAATCCCTGTCCCCCATCACCCACCGTTTACCGGGCAGACCCCCTTCCAGCACCTGCCTGGACACCCACGTACATAGCTAAGGCTGCAGGTTCAGTTTAACAAAGGAATTCATTTTCTTCCCATTCACCCCCACCGGCTTTGCCCCGTTTGTATTCGATGGAATCTGGGACCTCTTCTGCTGTAAAACACACAAACAAAATTTTTGTCATAATGGAGGCAAGTCCCCTCCATTTGAGATTTTGATATTACCAAGAAGACACAGCACTTCTGCTTGTGCCTGCTTACGGTGTCTGGGCTTTATCCTTGATGAATGCTCCTGGCTTTCTGCAGCGGCCGGTGGAACAATTTATTATGTTAAGCTTGTGTTTACTTTTACTTTTTAATCCCCGCCCTCTTTAGCAACTTACATCGATGAAGATGAAAACGAAATACTTGAATTATCATCAAATAAAACATTCTTGGTCGAGCTAAAGATTCCAGAGGACTGTGTTACCGAGGAGGAGTTGCCTCACCAGCTCAGGAAAAGGGTAATTATATCTTAAGCATTATTTACAGAGTCCTTAGCATTAGAATGTGGGTTCTTGGAGAAGAGCTGGCATTGGGCTCTCAAGTAAGTAGCTTCAGGCTTGGATTCTTTGTCTGGGTTTTGGCAGAAACTGATGCTTAGAAATGGGTTTTCTGTAGTGTAAAGCCCGACAGAAGAGCTCTGGTCTCCAGCTAAATGCGTCCTGGAGGACAGTGTTCCGTTTCCTCACTCTGGTCTTACATTTGATTCAACCTGTAGTGTCACTGAGGGTCTTTGATGTGCTAGACAGCTTGCCAAGTGTCAGAGCCATAAGGTCTGTGCCCTCAGTGGGGGTTCACAGTCCAAGAAGAGGAAGCAATTCAATAGTTCTAAAACAGGGCGATATGTTCTATCGTGGAGATGCATATAGAATATTTTAAAGGCACAAAGGAGGGGCCTCTAAACTACCTGAGGTGAGGATGAAGGCTTGGAGGGCCTTTTGGAGGAGGTGATACTCGGGATGAGTCTTGAAATATGAGGCAGGAGTGTTCTAGATAAAAGAGCAGAGAACACTGCACAGCAGCGTGTGGTGGGGATTTGCAGAGGCGAGGTGTGGTTTTCTTATTCTTTGGCAAGGCACCGGAAAAAAATTTTTTTCTTCCCTCAAAGTATCCAAAATTTATTTTGTTTTGTATCTATTCACAGATCTTACAAATTGAATTACTATGTACGTATTGATTTTCAGTGTCTTTTGAAACTGTAACAGAAGTAGGATTTTTTTTTAACTTGTTTGATTTTTGTTTTTTTTAAATTTACATCCAAGTTAGGTAGCGTCTAGTGTAACAATGATTTCAGGAGTAGATTCCTTAGTGCCCCTTACCCATTTATCCCGTCCCCCCTCCCACAACCCCTCCAGTAACCCTCAGTTGGTTCTCCATATTTATGAGTCTCTTCTGTTTTGTCCCCCTCCCTGTTTTTATATTCTTTTTGTTTCCCTTCCCTTATGTTCATCTGTTTTGTCTCTGAAAGTCCTCATATGAGTGAAGGCGTATGATTTTTGTCTTTCTCTAATTTCACTTAGCATATTACCCTCTAGTTCCAACCACGTTGTTGCAAATGTCAAGATTTCATTCTTTTTGATTGCTGAGTAATACTCCATTGTATGTATGTATGTGTGTGTGTATGTATATATATATATATATATATATATACATACACACACACATACCACATCTTCTTTATCCATTCATCCATCGATGGACATGTGGACTCTTCCCATACTTTGGCTATTGTTGATAGTGCTGCTATAAACACAGGGGTACATGTGTCCCTTCGAAACAGCACACCTTTATCCCGTGGATAAATGCCTAGTAGTGCAATTGCTGGGTCGTAGGGTAGTTCTATTTTTAGTTTTTTGAGGAACCTCCGTACTGTTTTCCAGAGTGGCTGCACCAGCTTGCATTCCCAGGCACTGAAAATTTTTAACGTTCGCTGACATGGTCAACCTTTCATTTGAGCCCTTGTGTGTGGTGATGGAGAAACACTGGAGGGTTGGTTGGGTTCACAGCCAGACCCAGGAAAGTATAGGCTAAGAGAGTGTAAGCAAGACCAGCCTGGCACGCATTACGTGCTTATCTGCAGTTGATAGGTTGAATGGTGTGAGTCACCCTCCTTTGGTTTCCCTTTGATTCCTAGGAAGGCTCCCACAGGAGGAGATTCCTTCTCGGTCACCCCCGACTTCGTTTTTGGGTACTGAGGTGCATGATATTTGATTGCGCCTTTGGTCACAGGAGTTTGTGCTCTGGGATGATTATCTGGGCTTCTCTTCTTCCTTCTTTCCCTTGTTTAAATCTTACCTGCAAGCCCCCTTCCCTCCTTTTCTTCCACCTGATTCCAGAGCAAGTGGCCGAGTGAATAGCCTCCTGCCTTTTTCCTCTTGACTGTTTTTTTCATCAAGGGGTTTTGCATTTGCCGAGCAGAAATGAAATGATTCAGCATCTGCACATGTCACGTGTTACAGACTGAATTCTTGATGTCAAAGGGAAATGGATATTAATCATTCACCTTAGAGCCATATCTCTGGCACAGAGCCGGACATGAGCAGATTCTGCAGGTATTTTTATTTATTTATTTATTTATTTATTTATTTATTATTTTTTTTTAAATTTTTTTTTTCAACGTTTATTTATTTTGGGACAGAGAGACAGAGCATGAATGGGGGGAGGGGCAGAGAGAGGAGACACAGAATGGGAAACAGGCTCCAGGCTCTGAGCCATCAGCCCAGAGCCAAACCCGGCCTTAGGGCTCAACCACGGACCAGATCACTGACCTGGCTGAAGTCGGACGCTTAACCGACTGTGCCACCCAGGCGCCCCTCTGCAGGTATTTTTAGCTCATCACTGTGTAGTGCCAGAACAGGGACTGGCGTGATCCCTGGGGCAAGTTTACAGGCCAGTTTGAGCTGGTTCCTTCTGGGATCAGTGGAAATCATTATACATTCCCTGTATACCCACAGGTGCATATGAGATGCGTATAAACAACTCCGTAAAACATTAAAAAAAGCTTTTTTTAATGTTTAATTTTGAGAGAAAGAGCATGAGCAGGACAGAGAGAGGGAAACAGCAGGGCTCAAACTCAAGAACCAGAAGATCATGACCTGAGCCGAAGTCAGACGCTTAACCTACTGAGCCACCCAGGCACCATCTCTGTAAAACATTTTTTTTAAAAAAGAGCTATCTGGTTTGCAAGATGATACAAGTTAAGGCACACTGAAGTGAAAAAGCTACTGCCTTCTGGTGTCCCAACCAAATATGTCCAGGAACAAAAGTGAGCAACTTATAGATATTAGTCTTTTTTTTTTTTTTTTTTTTTTTTTTGAGAAAGAGAGAGGGCACACCAGCCGGGGAGGAAGAGAAAGAATCTTAAGCAGGCTCCATGCACCCAGCACCGGGGAGCCTGATGTGGGGTTCATTGTGGGGTTTGACGTGGGGCTCGATCTCACAACCATGAGATGATGACCTGAGCTGAAATCAAGAGTTGGACACTTACCTGACTGAGCCACCCAGCTGCCCCATGAGATGTTAGTCTTACTGTTAGGTCAAGAACTCCTTTCTTTCATTCACTCAGGCCAACTTCTGGAAGTTTCCGGATACGGAAGGTAAATGAGAATGAACAGTGGAACACCATGTCCTTGCTTTTGCTTTATTGTCTTGCTTCTCTAAACAATTTTCCTAGCCTCTCGCCTATCCTACTGCCAGAGTTTTCTTCTCTTGCAGGTGGGGCCCTGATTCTGCTTAAGCCAGCCTGTTAGGTGCATGTTGTGTTAGCCCTGGCCTGTGTGCTTGATGCAGGAGTTAACAGTGGCTTCTCCAGTAACACAGGGAAGCTGTCTCCCTGGTCCCGAAATAGCGACTCTGCCCAATTCTGGTAGCTCACTGGGCGCCTCGCTCAGGGTGCACCCAGCCTCGTAGGCACAGCGTGGGACACCAGAGCAAGGGGTGAGAGGCCCCTCATTTCACTTCTTTGGGCCAAAGTAATGTGGTTAACGGCTCCCAGATATGTGAACATGTCGTAATGACAGCAGGGGACGTGTCACCAAAAAGAATCAGAATCATAGAGCGGACACTAAAAAGGATCTGATATACCATTTCAGCTCTTAACATAAAATTTTAGCTTAAAATTTTTTTCTGAGGGGGCCCCTGAGTGGCTCAGTCGGTTAAGTGTCTGATTCTTGGTTTTGGCTCAGGTCATGGTCTCACGGTTGTGAGTTCAAGCCCTGCATGGGGCTATGCGCTGACGGCAAGGAGCCCTACTTGGGATTCTCTCTCTCCCTGCCTCTCTGCCCCTCCCCTGTCTTTCTCAAAAATAAACATTTAAAAGTAAATAAATAAAGGGTGCTTGGGTGGCTCAGTTTGTTGAGCATCCATCTGCAGCTCAGGTCATGATCTTACAGTTGGTGAGTTCGAGCCCCATGTTGGGCTCCGTGCTGACAGCTCAGAGCCTGGAGCCTGCTTCGGATTCTGTGTCTCCCTCTCTCTCTGCCCCTCCCCTACTCATTCTCTCTCTCTCTCTCTCTTTCTCTGTCAAAAATGAATAAACATTTTAAAAAATAAACAAAAATAAATGTATTTATTTAAATGACATTTTTTCTGAGAGTCTACTATATGCAAAATAGTACTAGGCCCTAAGGATTAAAAAGGAAGAGGAGAGAGGAAACAGAAGGCTGGAAGGACATAATCTCTTCCATAATAGGTGTGTGTGTTTGTGTGTATGTAAGGAAGTGCGTGGAAAGAACACCATCGCTAGCATTTCCCCCCCCTTCTCCTCCTCCTCTTTCTCCTCCTCCTCTTCCTCCTTCCTGTTGTTCTGTGCAACCCTGTGAGAGCCACCTTCTTACTTCTTGCATGGACCTGTTGGCAGCTTTCTTTTCTCTGAGGCTCAACAACTGTAAGATGACCTAGTCATTTTTTTCTGAAGTTCTTATCACTTTATGCTTCTTTCCTCCTTGGTATTCAGGACACTTTCCTTCTTGCTTCATCCTCACTGGGTAGTGTGGTAACATGTGAGGAGGAGGGGATTTAGTGTCTGTAACACCTAGGACTGGATTCTTTGTGAGCAGAGTGGCCTTGGGCAGGTTTCATGACCTTTCCGAAAGCTGTGTCCTTTATTAACGAAAGGCGAAGAGGTAGTAATGCCTCTTATGTCAGGTTCTTGTAAAGAGCACGGCAAAAGTGACAAGATTGGAGGCATACAAACTGTAGGTGCTCTGATCCCCCCCGCTCCACCTTCAGGAGATTGAATTGGCACCAGGTGAATTCAGTGGGCACGTTTGTGGAAATGTAAGCGCCTGGAGATTCTGTTGGGAAGTAGGTGGGAGACAAAACGAGCGGAGCTCCCCTCAGGGCACTGCTTTTAGGCTAGGATTCCTATCTCTGAAATGTGAGGAAAAGGCTAATCGAAGGCTTGGAGAAGGCATTTGTCATGTAACACCAGCTAGCGTTTAGACTATAACACCAAACATTCCAGATCCAGAAGTTGCAGATACCGCCAAGGAACAGGCAACCCAAGAGAAAGACAGGAAACCGATAATAATTCAAAGGTGAGAAATCCCAGAGTTCGTAAACACACATGAAAAGATTCTCCAATCCCACTAGTAAAAATGCATATGGAAAACCATTTTGTACCCCTTAGATTGGCAATAATTAAAAACCCCAAAACCTGGTAACGCTAAGTGCCAGCAAGGCCGCGGGAAATGTAACACACTTGCTGGGATGGAGAGCAGTGTGGCAACATTTAGGTGGGCTGGAGACGCATCCCTTCTTGGACCCAGTGATTCCATTGCTCTGCACAGACTCAAGGGAAACTTTTACACGTACAAGAAGAGCGGCGCAGAAATGTTCAAGGGTGATTGCTTGGGCATGGTTTGTGATAAGAGGAGATTCGTGCCAACAGTGCATGTGGCCATCATAGGGGGATGGAAGGGTCGGTGTGACCATTCAGTGACCATTCAGTCAGTGGTGAATCCGCAGGAGTTAGGAGTTAGCGTGAATGACCTCCGTCTCTACGTACCATCATGGGGAGTTATCAAATGTAATTTGGAGTGAAAAAAAGAAGAACGTGTAGACTATGGCACCTTTTATTTGCATAAAAACACAAAGTAATTATGAATTGTTATGTTACGCAAGGAACTATTACATTTGGAAAAACATGGCGTGAAAAGGATACGCGCCGACTTGTGGACAATGATTCGTACTGGGGAAGGGAGGGAGGAAAAATAGTGTGTAGGAGGCGGTTTAGCTTTGTTTTGTTTTTGAAATAAAGGGCTGAACTAAGTACAGGAAAATGTGAAGTCACGAAACCTGGGTATTGGGAACACAGCTGCCATTTTTTGTGTGCGATTGCAGTATTTCATGCATAAAACGAGGACTCTGTATCTTTGCAATTAGAGGCCAGCTCCATTTGGTCCCATTACCCAGGGGAAGGTGCTATTCCTGTGGCTTCCGTGGCTGTTTCTCCTCACAGTAAAGCTCTGCGGAAAGGAGAGAAGAAGCCCTTGTCCAGTGGTGTGCCAGGCCCCGGGTGGCCTGTTCTGCCACCGTCCCAGCCCCTGCCTTGTTGTCTCCTGCCTGGGGTCTTGGGGTTTGTTGGGCTCTGGCTGCAGACCACTCCCAGCGTGAAGGCTACAGGGGTCAGCACAACACGTAAGAGATGTTGAAAATCCCAGCCTGGTCACTTGCTCCTTTTAAATGAGTGTTAGCTTGAGTTTCAGTTGGGGTAGGCCCACACCTTCCTGTTTCTCGGTCCGGGGCCTCTGGATAAGTGAATTCCTACCTAGTGTGGAATCTCTGTCTATGAGGGTTTTGCTTTGTCAGGTGATACAGACGCAATATGATCCATCTGTAACGCGTGTGGTTGTTTTCCTTGTTCCTGTTTTTTTTAGCTCACAGATGTGTACAGTTCATCCCCGTCTCTGAGTCGTTACTTTACTTCAGTGGAAATTACGGACTTCAGGTAAGAATGTGAAGCATGCCACGTTGCTCTTTCTCTGGAAAGCAACCCCCATCACCATTTGTCTAGAAGGACTTCCTGAGTGTCAAAGCACAAAAGGAACTGATGATGGGATGTGATGGCTTTGGCTTTGGAAGGGTTTTTGGAAACTTACTAGCTCAACTCCCTGATTTTAAAAAGGAGCGAAGTGAAGCCCTGATTAATTATATGACTCAACAGGGTCGCATGGAAGAGAGGAGAAGCCACTCCCAGGTAAATCATTCCTGCAGATGCTCCAGTAAGCTAGGGGTAGGAATAGAAATAGATCTCAGATAGTGATGGGATGTAAATGGTATAATCCAGATACTAGCTTTTGCTTTTGAGGAACACAAGGAATACAGGAGTCCATGCTCCTTATACAATATTAAAAATATAAAGACATCTCATACAGGAAAAGTCTACCGTTTCCTTCCACCCCACCTACTACCCCTGGATATTGCATGTTCTAGTCAATTCCATACACATGGTATGCTCTGCTCCCTTCTACTGAACGGGCTGCCATCAACAGTTTGGTGTGGTTTCTTCTATTCATGTACTTACCATATATACTTTATATATTATACATGTATAGTAAATACATGCATATATATAGTATTTCTTTATATATCTCTTAATCCTAAATATTTGTGTCTCTATCTATAGAACCTAGATAAAAGGTGTATGTGTGTAGGGGTGTCATCTGATTATTTTTTTGTATCGTTAGGAGAAGATTTACATGACAAAGCTTTCTTATCCACTCACTATTCTTAAGATATCTCTGGAATGTGACCATCACAGATAGTATTACCTTAAAAAAGAGATAGTATTATATTGGGATTCCTGCTTCTCAAACTATAAATTTCCCAGACCATAATCTTAGTACAGGGGGGGAAGCATTAGTACAGGGGGGAAGCTACCGAGGTGATAGCACAACGGGATAGGGCCAAAAGGGACCTGAAGTCTGAAACTGCATACAGTGGCGGGTTGCCTTGACAACTCCATCCCTCTTTCTTTATGGACCCCCCACTGTGCATATCACCTTACGGTTACATCTTTGACATTGCTCGTTTTAATCACAAATTACTGGTATTAAAATGCCGATAAAAAAGCCCAGCACATTTTCCTCTATATACTAGCCCCGACTTGCAATTTAAAGACAGAGCTGAGAAAGGAAAGACACTCAGCCTGAAGGGTCTTTCTGAGAATCCAGCCCCCATATTATGGGTTTAGAGGAGGTGGGGCTGCATAATGGGCTGGGGTAGACATTGGAGGGAACAAAACAAAAACATTAGAAGGTTGAACCAAATGTGGCTAGAAATCTGAAGATTAAATGTTAGAGAATTTGTTTTTACGAGTTATTTGAAAGAAAAATCTAAGACTTTAGGATTTTGGGTAGAGGAGCTCTGTACGGGAAGCACTTTTGTTGCATTTTAAGAGGTCCAGGCAGCGTTTTAACAGTGTTGGGATGAGTAAGAAACAAAAACCATTGTCCCCCAAAAGGTGCTGCCGCTAGCGGGCAGGAGACAGCCAGAGGCCCCTGGCAGCCAGGTTTGTGTCTACACGGGATAGTGACCTCAGTCCTGCCCCAGCCCAACAGGAACCTGCGAAAATGGCCTTTGGTTCGTCAGTTGCCAGGCGCACTCTAATAGTGGGCAGCTGAGGCGAAGCCCACATGGCTCTGTTTTTCCTGAAAATCCCTCCTTTCCCCTCAAGATCTAGCCTTAATGTAAACTCCCCCAGTGGGTGACCTGATGTGGTGGGACTAGGTTGGGCTAGCCAGGCTGGGTTAGGCAGGGCAACCCTCTCTTTCAAAAACTTCTGGTCTAGTCTTCTGAAAGTCAGCCTGTGATCCTTTCCATAAGCCAGCCTGAGACCTTGCCCACCTGTGGGAGTGCAGGGTGGCTGTACGCCTTGATGTGCAGCTTGATGTGCTATCAATGGTCAACCTTGATGTTGACCATCGATAGCAATAACTGGCAGGTGGAGCACGGGGAACAAGTAATGACACCTGCACACTTGTGTCTCTGGCCGAGAGCCTGAACGTGCATTTTGCAGCCCATCCGTAGCAGCACACGTAAACCGAGAGGTTCTCCACAGTCTTGACGGTATTTTGTTCATCCGAACTGCGGAGTTTGGCACACTGCTTGGCTGTCACGGGTTATAAACCGGCAGCCACATGAATACGAGAATAGTGGCCTATGTGACCTCTGGCCACAAGAGGGGGCTCATTCCCCGTCCTTAGCAGGACCAGCGTTCTGATCCAGGCTCCCGGGAGCGGCAGGCAGGTCAGTCAAAAACTGCCCTAGGGTGAGAGTCTCAGATGTGGCCACCTCTTAATTATTTTATTGCAGGCTCTTAATCAGGGCCTTCTTGAACCAAAGTATGCGGATAACTTTGAAAAACCTGTATGTCGAGGTAGCATTTAACCAGCCAGGGTAAGCTACTAATTAACCGAAGATAGCCCTATGATTATTTTCATTTTGGGACTGGAAAAATGTTCTAGGAAGATGAAGACCCCTTTTCCTTAGGTCCCTTTCCTGAGAGTTGCAAAGCTGAGAGCCTCGGGAGGTGGAAATTGGACAGAAAACAGGTCTCACTTTGGAGCTGTGATATGCTGCCGCTACACAGGGCAGCCGGTGGGAATTCGGGAATTCTGGAGCCAGCTGGTGGCAGGGAGCTTTGCGTCCTACCTCAGACATTTTGCAGGTTAAGGAATGAACTGGTTAAACCAAACAGCTGTGGCAGTCACTTGGGGCAGGGAGAGGGTGGAGCGTGAGGATGTGGAGAAGGGAATACAAGAGGAGAACAGGGCTTCCCTGCCTCAGGGGATAAAAGATTGGTATTGGGGCAGAGGATGGGCCAGCCCTTGGATCGTCCTTGACAGTAGCTGGAGGGTGACTCTCCCTTCAAGGGCCTCTCCCAGGGGTCTCCTAGAGGATGGGTTTTAGGTGGAAGGAAGTGGTTAGGGTCATCTCAACTTTCTGCGGCGAGATTACAGAAGAGGGTTCTTCTAGGACAGTGTGCCCTTTGCCTTTTTGTACTGGAGGAACATGAGGAACTAGAAAGAGGGTCCTGCTAAAGTCAGCTTCCTGGGTTGCAGTGTGATGCTGTTGATCTGTGTTGCTGTGTCTGTTTGGCGTGCCTTTCAGCAGTGAAAATGCCACCGTAGCCTACCACCTGCAATTTGGGGTTCCTTCAGAAGATGACAGTTTTATGAAGTATATGATGAATAAAGAGTTGGTGCTGGGCATTTTACTACAGGATCTCCATGATCAGAGAGTGTCCGGTTGTGAGACTTTGGGGCTTGATCCAGCATCCCTCTTGCTCTACGGTAAGTCGAAGAAGTCAGGAAGGCAGAGTTGTGACCTTCAGTAAGTGAACCAGATGGAGGGCAGCTGGTTTGGTTTGATTTCTGCGCAAGTGATGTTCACGCTCCATGGAGGAGGTTACACGGTCCTGCCTCCATGAGCAGACAGAGTAGGTGGGAAAAAATAATTAAATTGTAAAGATGAGGCTAAATGTTTCCCTGTTGTAGCTCACCCACATTTGGAGTCCCATATCCCACTTTGCAACATCATTGGTGAGCTTCATGAAAATGCCACGGTTTCACAAGAGAAGTATTGAATTTGGAACGAATGATACCGCTAAATCATTGAAAGATTATCTCAGTATGAGAAACCGATCTCCTTTTTCTGTTGAAGGCCACTGAGTCTATTACATTAACAGAGGGGCATGAAAGGGCAAATCAGTCTCTTTGGAAAGTTAATCAACTTACTCATCTACTTTTGAAACCAAGAGTGGAATGAGAACATTGGTATGTTACTTTTCATCAGCACGGAAAACACCCTGCTTGTCAGAACCTGAGAATTTTTAAGACTTTGCACAAAACCCGGTGAAAAGGAAGGTGGGGAGGAGAAGTAACCACAAGCCTTGGAGACGCGCCTCCATTGCGTCTGCACTGGGAGCTTCGGCCTGACCTCTGGTCTCACTTCCCACCCTGATCCCTCGCTTGGAGGGGCCCGGGCCCTTGTTAGTTAGCCCATAATGCCGACCGTCTTGTATATTTCATCATCTGCGATCCGCCGGAAATACTTTCTGCACACCGGTAGTAGTAAGTGCCAGTTAAATGAGTGAAAAAGGCAAATTAGGAGATGTAGTTAGCACCAGGCACGGTGCCAGCCAGCCTAGAATCAGAAGAGCAGGACAGATTGGCAAGTACTCCTGTTCCTACATAGTATGAGAAGGGGTGTTTATTCTACTGGCATTTCTTGATGACGGGAAGTGAAAGTAGGCTAATCCTTGTTTAAGACGGTGTAGAGTTATATAAAGCAGTTCTTAAAGCTTGCTTTTTCCCAAATAAGTAGAATGAATGATATTCAGAGGGCCAAATTTAAGCTCACTGAGATGAATTGCTTCCTCACAGAGCAGTTTTACTTACCTGAATAAGTAAAGTGTGTCTGTGGGCCAGACAGAGAGCATCCAAGTGTAGGGTGAAGAGGTTATGCACCCCTCAACAGGAATTTTAGAAAGGGAGAGAGAGAGAGAGAAGGGAGGAAGGAAAGAAGGGAGGCAAGGAAGGAAGGAAGGGAGGAAACCCTTCAACCCCCTGCTGTATGAAGAGGTGAGAGAAGGGAGGTGCAGCTGCCTGAGATGCGTCTGGTGGCCGTTGCTGTGTCATGAGTGATCTCGATTTTCCGAGCCCCCTCTGTACTTTGGTGGTTACCAGCTCTTTCCAAAGGTAGGCAGGGAAAGTAGAAGAGGAGGGTGAGAAAAAATTGAGAGGGTTATAAGGGTGGGAGGGCCACTCAGAGGGCGGTGGCTTGTGAGCCTGGGGAGAGCTTGGGAAGAATTTGAGCTCAGACAGATGGCCTTAGAGACATATACCCGGGGCCAGACGGCGGCAGGTGCCCAAAGGATGCAGCCAGGAGTAAGCAGGAGATTGTATCATTGTTCCTCTCAGACCTTTCTGCTGGGGGTGGGGGGTTTCTATGACCCCGCGTCCACTTTCTAGAGCGTGCATGTGCAGTGTTTGAGCCATTTGATACCCTCAGGAGTGTATCAGTCCAATGGGAGACAACGCAGTGACTATTTGGGAAGAGTGAGGAAGGAAGAAGAGAGACCCCGAAAAGGCAGGCAGGCTAAGGGAGGGGACGAGCTCAGTCAGGGATAGGTTGGCTGAGCAGAGGCCCTTGGGAGGGACCCAGTGAGACCCCATGTGTTCTTAGACCAGTTTTCCATGTTCACCGCACTGTGGGTCTGAGGGTTACCCCACCCGCCTCCCGTGATCCTCTGGGCAACCAGTTTCCCACAGAGATGCTGTTCCAATTCTGCAAAGAGCAATGATTCTTCTTCTTCTTTTTTTTTTTTTAAGTTTATTTATTTTGAGAGAGAGAGTAAGAGAGAGAGAGAGAATCCCAAGTAGGCTCTGCACAGTGTGGAGCCTGATGGGGGGCTCGAACTCATGGATTGTGAGATCATGACCTGAGCTGAAGCCAGGACTTAACTGACTGGGCCACCCAGCCACTCCAAAGAACAATGATTCTTAAAATTCTTTTTCCAGGGGCACCTGGATGGCTCAGTTGGTTAAGTGTCTGACTTCTTGATTTTGGCTCAGGTCATGATCTCACAGTTCGTGAGTTCAAGCCCTGCACTGTCAGTGCAGAGCCTACTTGGAATTCTCTCTCTTTCCCTCTCTCTCTGCCCCTTCCCCAGTCTCTCTCTCTCTCTCTCTCTCTCTCTCTCTCAAAATATGTAAACTTAAAAAAATATTTTCCCACGTAATAAGAGCTTTTAGGATTGATTCCCTTAGCAACTTTCAAAGGTACCACACAGCAGTGTTAACTCTAGCCCTCATGCTGTACATTCCACCCCCAGAACTTATTTATTTTACAATTGGAAGTTTGTGCCTTTTGACCACCTTCACCCGGCCCTCTCCCTCTGCAACCCATCTGGTCTCTTTTTCTATGAGTTTGTTTTTCCTAGATTCCACGTGTAAGTGAGATTGTGCAACATTTTGCCTTTCTCCGTCTGACTTTGGTCACATAGCATGCCGCCCTCAAAGGTAAAGGAACTGCTTTACTAGATCTCACCTCCCCCTTCCGCTATTTTTGAGCTCCTTCACTTTATGGGTGTTTGGGGGCCTGGGGATGGGGCGGGGGTCAGTCTGTTTTACAAATGTAAAATGGCAGCACGAGTTATTTTAGACATCTTGACCTGGGGTAGTTATTTTGTACTGTTTTCGCATATGTGAAGGACTCAGCTAGACTAAATGAAGGCAAAAGCCAGATTTGTGTGAGAGAAAAGAGGAAAACGCTGCAGGCAGTGAGAAGAGTGAATCCTGTTTGCACATTTTGGGGGTAAACTGATGAGCTGGTTGCCGGCAGAGGAGCCAACGTGTGCGTTCCGGTTTTGACAGGACTGCTTGGTATCTAGGAAAATCGCTTAGGTTGTGTATTGATTTTCCAGGAATCTTGGAAAGTTTAGCCAAGAGGCACTAATTCTCAAGTGGGGGCAGTTTTGCCCCTCCACCGCCCCCTCGGGGTAGCTGGTAATGTCTGCCGATGTTTTTAGTTGTCACGACTGGGTGCGTATATGAGATACTAGCATCTAGCATCTAGATACCAGCATCTGACCATCTTACAAGGCACAGGGCCCCTCTCTACTGTGGTAGAGGTTTTTCCTCTGTGGGGGAAAAAAACAAAAAAATCAAAACCTCAAGGCAACCTGGCTAGACGCATGCGTGACAACATCCCTCATGACCCTATAGCATGAGACCACTCAATCAGGCTGCATGTTTGTGTGTGACCATATAGGGAGACAAAGAAATAGAAAATGTATATAAAAAACTATGCTACCTGCCTTTCGGGGCTCAGTGCTTTGGGTGCGAACCCAGATAAGCGGCGCCGGCATGGGTGAAGTTGCTTCCTGGAAAGAAAAGCCTCAGTGTCACGACTCTCTGTGAGAGAATCCTGCTACACTACTGCAAAGATTTGTCCAGCCCCAAATGTCAACTGTGAGGACCCTGTGGCAGTGCACGGACCCTCCATGTGATGGCCCTCAGGTCCTTGCATGGGCATCTCCACCTTGGTCAGGCCAGGTCCACACCATTTCCCTCATCAGACTTGCTCACAGTCTATTGTATACCATTTAACACACTGAAAATTTAAAGGCTAGTAGATATCTATTAGCTAGAGGCTAATAGATTATGAAAACGGACATCATTTAAATGTCCTCAGCACCCAAAAGCCTTCAACAAAATGTTATCGTGAATCATACCCAAATGAGCAACGGGTTATCTGCGTTTTGAAAAGCATTCTAGGGCACGTGGGTGGCTCAGTCAGTTGAGGTCCCACTCTTGATTTTGGCTCAGGTCATGATCTCCTGGTTGGTGAGTTCGAGCCCTGCAACCGGCTCATGCTGATGGTGTGGAGCCTGCTTGGGATTCTCTCTCTCTCTC